ATATAAAATGGCCAATTTTATTTCTCTTTGAGATTTTCTTAATGGCACTGTTTGTGGTTCATTTGCGTCAGATACTTGTGAGTTACTGCCTTCTTGAAGTGTTCCATTCAAATGTTGTTCAACATTGTTAAAGTGTTTTTCAACAAGTGGAACAATATTTGTTATTGTTGTGGAAGTAGGTACATTCATGGGCAATGAAATATTTACCCTTACCTCATTAATTTTCACACTTTGTCGTTCAACACTCCCACTAACTTCACCATTCTCAATGAATTTTGCATTACCAGTTTCAACAATTCTTGAACTATGATTTGGACAGTAAAACCTATACCCTTTAGATTTCTCTGGATAACCAATAAAGTAACCACTTACCGTTTGAGAATCTAATTTCTTTTCATGTGGATTATAAACTCTAGCTTTCGCTTGACAACCCCAAACATGCAGGTGTCTTAAACTAGGCTTCCTTCCAGTCCACAATTCAAAAGGGGGTTTTGGAACAACCTTACTAGGAATCCTGTTTAATAAATATACAACGGTTTTAAGAGAATACATCCACAATGATATGGGTAATGATGAATTACTCATCATAGTCCTACCCATATCCATAAGTTTCGATTACGCCTTTCTTGGATGTTGGGACAAGACCCTCAACATCCTAATGAACTAAAATGATAAAGAAATGAAAAAGGGGATCCTCCGTAAGCAAGGAGGCTCACCAAAAACTCAGAAGCTCAATTGGATCAACGATGCACTGGATATTGATCCTGATTACCTGAATCTGCATCATAATAAGATGCAGGCCAACTAGCATCAGAACATTGAATATACGAGCATGCGAGGGAAATTATAAAATAAGACATAAGCTTGAAAGGAACTGAAAGAACATACCTGGGCTCAACTCAACTTAACTCATTTCAATATAAAGCAATAAAATAAATGCAATATAAAGAAAAACTTTTAAAACATGGATAACAACTTTGTGTATTTAGAAATACAATAGTAACTATGAATGTATGCAAAGATACAATATAAACTCTGAATGTATATAAAAATACACTTAACTCTGTGTATAATAATACAAAATACTGGTGTGAGAGTTTCTCTAACCGATAGCCATCACTTAAGAGCTATTGTGATTATACTACATTTTGCCTCACATTGCCAGGGTCGTCCTATACCTTGCCTAGGGCATAGAACCTGACTACTAAGTGGATCCACTAGTTTATGCTAAAAAGCACTAAAGAATCATCTAAAAAGTATTACCCTTTTCTACCCATGATGGTTACATGGTTTATGGGGGCTGGGAGATGTCTGAACTCTCCCCCATATCGGTGCTCAATACTAGTCCCAAAATATAATACTAGCTCTTATGTTTAAAAACATATTTTTTTCTGTGCTTTGAGATATTGCTCAAAACTTAGCTCAAAGGCTATCTTGGAATTCAAAGTTTCCTCTCTTGCTTAATTATGAAAGCATTTACTCTTTACTGAAAAACTAGCTCAAAGGCTCTTTTGGAAATCTCAGTTTCCTTTCTTATTTAAATGTGAAAACATTTTAAACTTTTGGGAATACATAGTCCCGATATACTCTTTTGAAGAAATGAACTTCAAATATTTTACTCTTTACTCAACTCAATACTCAGGTCTTAAAACAAAGTTAAAACATTTGTGAAAGACTGTTGGAAGACTCTATGAACTTCTCTTGACTTGGTTCTTAACTTCTCTTCACTTGACTCTTAACTTCTTTTCACTGGACTTTTAACTTCTCTTAACTTGACTCTGAACTTTCCTTGAATTAAATTATGGATTCAAGGATTGTGATTTGTTATAGGAAAGATCTCATGATGTTTAGGAGTGTTTTTAGATAGTTAAATATGAGAAACGATCAAGAAATCACTGCCTGGAAGAAATTCCGTGATGCGGAGATGCATTTAATTATTTGGTCGTGAAATAAATTGAGGTAGAACGGACCGTGACCACTCCGTGACACGGAGAAAATTTGGTCAATCCTGAGGAATAGGTCCGCGACGCGGTCCTGGTACCCTAATTTTCCTGACTTGTTCCTTCTTCGTTTTCTAACCCCAATTCATCTAAATTTGATTATTTTTCTCCACTCCTCTTTATATTCAGATACCTAGTATGTTTACACAAGAATCTAATCAAACACAACTCTAAAATCGACCTTAAACTTTCAAGAACTCCTCAATGTCATCCCAAATTCAAGAACGAAAGCAATTCAAGAATACAACTCAAGAATATAAAAGTCTCAATCTTTTAGGACGAAAATCATACCAAAATAAACATGTTTGGCGTGTGGTTGAATGAACCCAATGCTATGTGTACTCACATACCTCGTAGGATTGAATCCTTTGCGAAATCCGCACTCAATTCCTCAAGAAATAGACGAATCCTTGCTTCTTCTCCTCTTTTCTCCTCTTCTTTTCTCTTCTCTCAAAACCCTAACTCTTTTTTATGAAGCGTTAACTGAACCAATTCAGTTTAGATCCCACCTTAATTACCAAAAATTAATTTAATTAATAGGGTAGTGAAAAGACGAAAGTACCCTTCTAAAATCCGGTTTTGACTTTCCTTATCTAGACAACCCAACTTCAAATAGGCATATCTCCCTCATACGAACATGAAATCGCGCAAATTTGGCGGCGTTGAAAAGATAATTAAAATTTCTTTCCTACGGCATCTTGTAGCACACCTAAGTCATCCTAAGCTAGGATTTATGGTCGTTTGAAGTTGACCCAAAACTCATACTTAACTTTTTTTTTGTCAAATTTGCAGATTTTCATTCTTTCCAAAAATGACTCTTTCTAATTCTATGTCTTTCTAGTAGCAGGGTGTTACAATATCTCCCCCTTGGGAACATTCATCCTCGAATGAGACTACTCTTAGTAGGCTAGGGTGTAACATCTAACACCTAGCTCAAACACCCAAATGGAATCCATTAGTCGAACTCCTAATCGTGCAAGTCTATGCACATCTGTCGCTATCTCTTTCTTATCTTCCTCAAAATGGGCGGTACTACCCATAGACAATCTGCTCAAGGCATCAACAACAATATTAGCCTTACTTGGGTGATAAAGAATACGCATGTCATAATCCTTGAGTAGTTCTAACCACCTCCTTTGTCTGAGATTAAGCTCTTTCTGACTAAACACATACTGAAGACTCTTGTGATCGGTGAACACATCTACAAGAACACCATAAATATAGTGACGCTATAACCTTGCCAATATGCATCAATACACAACCCAAACCAAATCTAGACGCATCACAATAAACAGCAAAGCCTTGCGCGCCTTCTGGTAAGGTCAATATTGGGGCAGTAGTCAGCCTTTTTTTCAATTCCTAAAAGCTTTTCTCACAAGATTCAGACCATTGAAACTTAACTGTCTTCTGAGTCAACTTAGTCAAAGGAGATGAAATATATGAAAATCCCTCGACGAACCTTCTATAATATCTAGCCAACCCCAAGAAACTCCTAATATCAGTTGGAGATGTGGGTCTAGGACAATTCTGCACTTTCTCTATTTTCTGAGTATCAACTTTAATTCCATTACCGGATATAATGTGGCCTAAGAATGCCACAGACTCAAGCCAAAACTCACACTTAGAAAACTTGGCATACAACTCTCTATCCTTTAGAGTTTGGAGAACTATTTTGAGATGGCTAGCATGATCTTCCTCATTCCTCGAATAGATTAGTATTTCATCAATGAATATGATAACAAATATATTTAAATAAGGCTTGAAAACTCTATTCATAAGGTCCATGAACGCTGCAAGTGCATTAGTTAAACCGAACGACATAACCAGAACACATAATGAGCACAACGGGTCCTGAATGTTGCCTTAGGAATATCACATTCCCTTACTTTCAACTGCTCTTTCAACTCTTTTAACTCTGTTGGTGCCATCCTATATATCTGAATACATATAGGACGAGTATTAGGAATAATATCTATACCGAAGTCTATTTCTCTCTCAGGAGGGACTCCGGGAAGATCATCTAGAAAGACTTATGGAAACTCTTTTACTATTGGAACTGACTGAACAAGAGGTATCTCAACAGTAGAGTCATGAACTCAGACTAAGTGATAGACACACCCATTGGAAACTAACTTTCTCGCCTTAAGGTACGAAATAAAACGACCCTTAGGCACTACTGAACTGCTACTCCACTCTATATCTGGCTCATTAGGAATTTGGAACCTAATAACTCGTGTTCTACAATCTATTGATGCATAACAAGCATGAAGCCAATCCATACCTAAAATAACATCAAAATCTACCATATCTAACACAACTAAGTGAGCCATGGTACTCTTGTGATTGACAAAAAATGTACAATCATGATAGACTCTCTCAGCTAGAATAGACTCACCAACAGGTGTAGAAATACTGAAGGGATCAAGAAGTTGCTCAGGAAGTACATTGAAATTCATAGCAACATATGGAGTTACAAAAGATAAACTCGCTCCTAGATCTAGCAAAGCTTAAACATCAAAGTTAAAGATTTTGATCATACCACTGACAACATTTTGAGAATCCACTTTCTCTTGGCGACTAGTAACAGTGTTGAAAGTGGTGCCTCAAAACCTAGAGATTAGTTCCACTTTCTGCTGTATCAATATACAGCTTAAAATTAGGATTAAGTTCAAATAAATTAGGCTGCAGTATTTGGCAGAATCTGATTAGTTAGTTGCTATATTTTAGGATTTAGTTATTGGAGATAATGTTAGCTTATTTCACTCATTTTCTTTAGCTTTTTAAGTTATGAATTCATGTATTTATATTGCAGTCATTATTTCAATAAACAAAAAAACTTAACCTTGTTGCTTCTCCTTTCTTTCTTAGTAAACATCTGTTATTCTCCTGTTAAAAACCTACAGATTGATATCAGAGCATTGCCATCTTGAGAGATCTGTGAGAAAAGAGTGAACCATATAAACCCTTCTTTGAACTACTATCTTAAATAGTTTATAGAAAATGAATTCTGAAACAAGCTTCTTAACTCCACCAGTCTTCAATGGTGAGAATTATCAAGCTTGGGAAATTAGAATGATGGTTCATCTTGAAGCGCTAGATCTCTGCGAAGCAGTAGAAGAGGATTAAGTAGTAACTTCTCTCGGTGATAATCCAACAGTGAATCAGATGAAACATCACAAGGAGAATAAGACAAGGAAAGCCAAAGCTAAAGCATGCCTTTTCTCGGCAGTATCCTCTTCAATTCATACCAGAATTATGCAAATGAAGTTTGCAGCAGAAATTTGGGAGTATCCCAGAAAAGAAGACCAAGGAAATGAAAGACTGCAGAATATGCAAGTGATAAATCTGATTCAAGAATTTGAAATGAAGAGAATGAAAGAATAGGAAACTATTAAAGACTATGCAGACAAACTACTCGACTTGGCAAACAAGGTGAGACTGTTCGGTAAGGATTTCACTGATGAAAGAATTGTTCAAAAGATTCTTGTTACACTTCCTGAGAAATATGAAGCCACAATTTTTTCTTTAGAGAATTCTAAAGATTTGTCAAGCGTTACCTTGGCAGAACTTGTTAAAGGTTTGCAGGCATTAGAGCAAAGGAGATTAATAGGGAAACAAGGTTCTGTTGAAGGTGCTTTTCAAGCTAATTCACTGAACAACAAGTCAAACAAAGGAAGGAAAAAGAACAAGACGCAGAGGCCAAGCATTAATTACAACAAACATGGAGGAAGTCAGCCTCCCTGCCCTCATTGCAAAAAGACAAATCACTCTCAACAGAAATGTTGGTGGAGACCAGACGTCAAGTGCAACAAATGTGGTCAATTAGGCCATGTGGAGAGGGTATGCAAGTCACAACCGCAACAAGAAGAATCTAAGGCTGCAGTAAATCAATATCAAGAAGAGCAATTGTTTGTAGCAACTTGTTTTGCTAGCAAAAACGCTTCTAAAAGTTGGTTAATTGATAGTGGATGCATAAATCATATGACCAGCAACCAAGAACTCTTTAAAGATCTAGATAGATATTTTATTTCCAAAGTGAAAATTGGAAATGGAGAATATCTTGATGCGAGAGGCAGAGGAACTGTTGCAATTGAAAGCCTTACAGGTTTGAAACTTATAGTTGATGTTCTTTTGTTCCTGATCTTGATCAAAACCTCTTAAGTGTTGGACAACTACTTGAAAATGGTTTGAAAGTGTTGTTTGAAGAAAAATCATGTGTCATCAAGGATGCTAATAATAAAGAGATGTTCAAGGTCAAGACGAGAGGAAAGAGTTTTGCCTTGAACTTGTTGGACGAGGAATAAGCAGCAATTATCAAGTTGGAAAATAACTCAGAACTATGGCACAAAAGACTCAGACATTTTCATCACGATGCTATACTCTTCATGAAAGAAAATAAACTAGCAAAAGGTCTTCCAAGCCTTGAGAAGAACCTGTCTGCTTGTGAAGCTTGTCAGTATGGGAAGCAAGCAAGGTTGCCTTTTCAGAATTCATCATGGAGGGCAAAGCAGAATCTGCAACTTATTCACACGGATGTAGGCGGACCTCAGAAATCACCATCTTTAAAGGGTAGTAAGTACTATATTGCCTTTATTGATGATTGTACCAGATATTGTTGGATTTATGTTTTGAATTATAAATTTGAGGTCGCTGATGTATTCTGGAAATATAAGGCTTTTGTGGAAAATCAGAGTGGTTGCAGAATTCAGGTGATAAGATCCGACAATGGAACTGAGTATACTTCAGAAAAATTCAACAAGTTTTGTAATGAAGCGGGAATTGAGCATCAGCTAACAACACCATATACTCCCCAACAAAATGGAGTAGTGGAAAGAAAAAATAGGACGCTAATGGAGATGACAAGGTGTTTGCTCCATGAGAAAGGACTGCCAAAGAAATTTTGGGCTGAAGCTGCAAATACAGCAATATTTCTGCTAAACAGATTGCCAACTAAGGCCTTGCAAAAGAAAACACCATTTGAGGCTTGGTTTGGTTACAAAACCTTTGCTAACAAATCTGAAAACATTTGGTTGTTTTTGTTTTTCTTATGTACCTCATGTGAAAAGAGATAAGTTGAATAAGAAGGCTGAACTTGGAATTTTTGTAGGATACAGCAGTCTCTCAAAAGCTTATAGGATCTATCAACCTCAAAATGACAAAATCATTGTTAGGAGGGATGTCAAGTTTGTGGAAAATGACACCTGGAGCTGGCAAAATGATGAAAAGCAAAAAAATCTAGAATCTCTAGATGAAGATATTGATGATATACCTATTAGAGGCACAAGAGCACTTTCTGATATATATCAAAGGTGTAATATTGCAATTTTAGAACCAGGAGGATTTATGGAGGCTGCTAAAGATGAAAAATGAAGATATGCAATGCAGGAGGAGCTTAAAATGATAGAAAAGAACAACACATGTGAGCTGGTTGACAGACCATCGCACAAGAAGGCTATTGGAGTCAAGTGGGCCTATAGGACCAAGCTAAATCCTGATGGTTCCATAAACAAGTACAAGGCCAGGCTGGTTGCAAAAGGGTACGTAGAAACTTTTGCTCCTGTCACCCGTTTGGATACGATAAGAATGTTGTTAGCTTTAGCAACTCCACTGGGATGGAAGATACACCAGCTTGATGTGAAATCAGCTTTCCTAAATGGCTACCTTGAAGAAGAAATCTTTGTAGAACAACCTGAAGGTTTTTCTATCAAAGGCAAAGAAGACAAAGTGTACCTTCTAAAGAAGGCATTGTACGACTTAAAACAAGCTCCTAGAGCTTGGTATAGCAGAATTGATGCTCATCTTCTGAGCTTCGGCTTTACAAAAAGTCTCAGCGAGTCTACACTCTATATTAGAAAATAAAATTCTGATTTAACCATTGTTTCTTTGTATGTAGATGGCTTTCTAGTTACATGTAGCAATTTGAACTTGATTAATTTGTTCAAGACTGAAATGATAGAAGGTTTTGAGATGACAGACCTTTGGTGAAATGTTCTACTTTCTAGGCATGGAAATTCGGCAAAAAGGACATGAGGTCTTCATATGCCAGCAGAAATATGCTAAAGAAATTCTCATAAAGTTCAAAATGGAAGAATACAAGTCTACAACAACTCCTATGAATCAAAAGGAGAAGTTCTGCAAAGATGATGGAGCTGAAAAGGTTGATGAAGGGCTTTATAGGAGCCTGATAGGTTGCCTAATGTACTTGACAGCAACAAGACCAGATGATCTTTATGCTGTGAGTTTACTTTCAATATATATGCATTATGCTAGCGAAATTCATTTTCAAGCATCTAAACGTGTGATTAGATATATTAAAGGTACTGCAAATTTTGGCATAATGTTTAAAAAAGCATCATACTTTCAGTTTCTTGGATTTTCTGATAGTGATTGGGCTGGTAGCTCAAATGATATGAGAAGCACCTCAGGTTACTGTTTTAGTTTTGGTTCTGGAATGTTCTCTTGGTGTTAAAAGAAGCAAGATATTGTGGCTCAGTCTACAGCTGAAGCAGAGTACATTGCGGCTGCATCAGCTGTGAATCAAGCTCTTTGGATTTGGAAGCTACTGACAAATTTGTATATGGAGCAAAAGAAGAGCACTGAAATCTTTGTTGATAATCAGGCTGCAATTTCAATTGCAAATAATCCCGTTTCACATGGAAAGACAAAACATTTCAAGATCAAGCTTTATTTCTTGAGGGAGCTGCAAAAGAATGGAGACATAGACTTGGTGCACTGCAAAACTGATTTTCAATCTGCTGATATTTTAACTAAGGCCCTACCTAGAGCAAGATTTGAATTTCTCAGAAAAAGGCTTGGGATTGCTGCTCTTGAGTCAAGGAGGTGTGTTGAAAGTGGTGCCTCAAAACCTGGAGATTAGTTCCACTTTCTGTTGTATCAATATACAGCTTAAAAGTAGAATTAAAGTTCAGATAAATTAGGCTACAATATTTGGCAGAATCTGATTAGTTAGTTGCTATATTTTAGGCTTTAGTTATTGGAGATAATGTTTAGCTTATTTCACTCCTTTTCTTTAGCTTTTTAAGTTATGAATTCATGTATTTATATTACAGTCATTATTTCAATAAACAAAAAAACTTAACCTTGATTCTTCTCTTTTCTTTCTTAGTAAACATCTGTTATTCTCCTGTTAAAAACCTACAAATAGCATAAAGACGGTTTCCTCCTTCGCCTTCCCCTGAAGTAGCTCCTCTAGATGTAGCTCTGTCTGATGGAGCAACTGAAGAAGACTGAGCTCTATTACCCCTATTACCGTTAACCTGCTTGTTCTTCGAACACTCTTGCATAAAATGACTGTTCTAGCCACACTTGAAACAACCAGTGGAGTCATCACGACACATCCCTAAGTGGTTCCTACCACACTTAGCATATGTAGGAGGCTTACTACCCCCTTGTGCCATACTACCTTGAGAATAGGCAGTTTTATCTTTGAAATTCTGACTATTGTACTCACTTTTGTTCCCTTGTGCAGGTGCACTAGCAGATAATGGAGTAGGTCCCTTCTACTTAGGTTGGAAAGAAGACATGTTCGCATTTCTCTTTTGCTGCCCGTACTCATTCCCTGATGTCTTAGCCCTCTTATTCTTAAACTCTTCTCTATCCCTCAGCTTATCCTCCTCAACTTGTTGCACATGGATCATTAGCCTTGCTATGTCCATATCCCTTATCAGCATAGTTGCCTTGCTTTCCTTACTTGACAGACGAGACAATCCAGCAACAAATAAACTCATCATGCTCCTCATGTCAGCAACCATCTCCGAAGCATAGCGGGAAAGTTGTGTGAACTTCATACTATACTCATGAACACCCATAGATTCCTGCTTAAGGGTAACGCGTTCTCGTACCTTTGCTTCTCTTAGATCATGGGGAAAGAAACGCTACATGAAAGCACTCTTAAAAATAGCCTAACTCACAATCGGTTACGCACAAGCAAGAGTTAGAAAGAAACTGTATAGAGATGAACTCTATTGCATTAAATGAGTATGAAAGAAGTGAGAATTTCCTAAATGTTATAGTCTCCTAATTATATATGTGGCGCGCTTCACACCGATAACTAGGACCCTACAGACACGGCTTCATAGACTCCCTAACACTCTTGAACTCTCTGCTCTGATACCAAGTTTGTCACTCCCCGAGCCTACAACCTAGGCGGGACTGGTACTCAAGAACCATTGCTTGCCCCAAGCGAACCCTTGGCCTGGCTTACTTACTCAGCAGAAGACTTTAAGCATTAAGAAAAGAACTGAAATGCAACATAATCAACTGTCTCAAACTAAACTCATAATGTTTTAGAAATAAATATTTAACATAGCCAAAGTGGCAACTCAAATCTGACCATAAGCCAATAACAAGGTAAAGACAAATGACTAACTGGTTGTCTATCTATGAAGCCTCTAAAACTGAGATGGATGTCGGGACAAGACCCCCAACATCCTAATGAACTAAAATGATAAAGTAATGAAAAAGGGGATCCTTTGGAAGCTAGGAGGCTCACCAACAACTCTGACGCTCAACTGGATCACCGATGCGCTCGATGTTGATCCTGATTACCTGAATCTACATCATTATAAGATGCAGGCCAACTAGTATCAGTACATTGAATGTACGAGAATGCGAGGGGAATTCTAAAACAAGACGTAAGCTTGAAAGGAACCGAAAGAACATACCTTGGCTCAACTCAACTCAACTTAACTCATTTCAATATAAAGCAATAAAATAAATGCAATATAAAGAAAAGCTTTTAAAACATGGATATCAACTCTGTGTATTTAGAAATACAATAGTAACTCTGAATGTAAGCAAAGATACAATATAAACTATGAATGTATATAAAAATACACGTAACTCTGTGTATATAGGAATACAAAATACTGGTGTGGGAGTTTCTCTAACCGACAGCCATTACTTAAGAGTTATTGTGATGATACATCGTTTTGCCTTACGCTGCCAGGGCTGTCCTATACCTTGCCAAGTGCATAGAACCTGACTACTAAGTGGATCCACTAGTCTATGCTAAAAAGCACTAAGGAATCATCTAAAAAGTATGACCCTTTTCTACCCATGATGGCTACATGGTTTATGGGGGCTGGGAGTTGTTTGAACTCTCCCCCATATCGATGTTCAATACTACTCCCAAAATATAATACTAGCTCTTATGTTTAAAAACATACTTCTTTCTGTGCTTTAAGATAATTTCTCAAAACTTAGCTCAAAGGCTATCTTGGAATTAAAGTTTCCTCTCTTGCTTAATTATGAAAGCATTTACTCTTTACTGAAAACTAGTTCAAAGGCTCTTTCGGAAATCTTAGTTTCCTGTCTTATTTAAATGTGAAAACATAGTAATATCTTTGGAAATACATAATCCCGATATACTCTTTTGAAGAAATGAACTTCAAATCTTTTACTCTTTACTCAACTCAAAACTCAGGTCTTAAAACAAAGTTAAAATATTTGTAAAAGACTTTTGGAAGACTCTATGAACTTCTCTTGACTTGGCTGTTAACCTTTCTTGACTTGACTCTTAACTTCTCTTGACTTGACTCTTAACTTCTCTTGACTTGACTCTTAACTTTCCTTGAATTGAATTATGGAATCAAGATTGTGATTTGTGATAAGAAAGATCTCATGATGTTTAGGAGTGTTTTAGATAGTTAAACATGAGAAATGATCAAGAAATCACTGCCTGAAAGCAAGTCTGCGACGCGGAGCCGCATTTAATTATTTGGTCGCGAAATAAATTTTGAGGTAGAACGTTCTGTGACCAGTACGCGACGCGGAGAAATTTGGTCAATCCTGAGGAACAGGTACGCGACGCGGACCTGTGTACCCAGATTTGCCCGACTTGTTCCTTCTTCATTTTCTAACCCCAATTCGCCTATATTCAATTCTTTTTCTCAACTCCTCTGTAGATTCAGATATCCAGTATATGTAAACAAGAATCTTATCAAACACAACTCTAAAATCGACCTTAAACTCTCAAGAACTCCTCAATCTCATCGCAAATTCAAGAACGACAACAATTCAAGAACATAAAAGTCTCAATCTTTTAGGAAGAAAAACATACTGAAATAAACATGTTTGGTGCGTGGGTGAACGAACCCAATGCTATGTGAACTCACATACCTCATAGGATTGAATCCTTGGGGAAATCCGCACTCAATTCCTCAAGAAATCGACGAGTCCTTGCTCCTTCTCCTCTTTTCTCTTCTCTCAAAACCCTAACTCTTTTTTATGAACCGTAAACTGAACCAATTCACTTTAGACCCCAACTTAATTACCAAAAATGAATTTAATTAATAGGGTTGTGAAAAGACCAAAGTACCCTTCTAAAATCCTGTTTTGACTTTCCCTAT